GTTCTCTCCCCGAACGAATTGGTCAAGGCGAAGAAGTTGTCACTCAAGTACGCCGATGTATTCTCATCAAACGATGCTGACATAGGAAAGACTAGCTTAGTTCAACACAAAATAAACACAGGAGAAGAATTGCCTATCCGTCAGCGGCCAAGAAGATTGCCGGTAGCACGTGAAAAGGAAGTGGAAACCATGATTGAGGGAATGGTGAAGTATGGTGTTATTGAACCTTCATCTAGTCCATGGTGTTCACCCGTGGTGCTGGTAAAGAAGAAAGACGGCAGCATGCGGTTCTGTGTTGATTACCGCCGTCTGAACGACGTTACAAAGAAGGACAGCTATCCCTTGCCAAGAATTGATGACACGCTGGATATGCTTACAGGAGAAAAGTGGTTTAGCATGCTGGATCTAAAAAGTGGCTACTGGTAAGTTGAAATTGACCCTAAGGACAAGGAGAAAACTGTGTTCTCGACGGGAAAGGGTCTGTGGCAATTTAAAGTAATGCCGTTTCGGATTGTGCAATGCTCCAGCAACGTTTGAAAGGCTGATGGAGCTTGTACTTACCGGGCTAATTGGCGATGCCTGTCCGGTCTACTTGGATGACATCATCATCGTGGGCCTTACGTTTGAGGAACGCCTTCAGAACCTGGAACGCGTGCTCATGAAGATTCAGAGTGCCAACCTCAAGTTGAGTCCGAAGAAATGTTCACTATTCAAACGGCAAGTCAACTTTTGGGGTATGTAGTGTCGGAAGAAGGTATCCGCGGGGAAAATCGCCGCTGTCAAGGATTGGCCGGTTCCAAAAGACAAGACGCAGGTTAGAGTATTTTTGAGTTTGTGCTCCTATTACCGGCGGTTTGTGAAGAACTTTGCAGATATAGCCAAACCTCTGCATAAACTAGCCGAGGAGAGGCGACATTTCTGCTGGGATGAAAGTTGCAATATCGCATTCCAGGAGCTCAAGGACCGTCTGTGCAAAACACTATTTTGGGATACCCTGATGCAAGCAAAGAATTTATAGTTGACACAGACGCAAGTGATATAGGACTTGGCGGTGTGTTGTCTCAACGGAATGGTGACCAAGAGGTCGTGATAGCGTACTTCAGCAAGTCGTTGTCAAAACCGGAAAGGAACTATTGTGTCACAAGAGGCGAATTGCTAGCTGTGGTAAAGTCGTTGCAGCATTTTAGCAAATATCTTCTAGGGTGAAAATTTCACTTAAGAACTGACCATGCTGCACTAAAATGGCTATTGCAGTTTAAAAATCCAGAAGGACAAGTTGCGATGTGGATTGAACTGCTGCAGGAATACGACTTTGAGATCGAACATCGCAGCGGGAAATCTCATGTCAACGCAGATGCATTGTCAAGAAGACCTTGTTCCTGAAGATTGCAAAAATTGTACTAGGCATGAAAGTAAGGAAGTGGTATCCGTGAGGATGCTCAGGAGAGACCACCTCAGCAACGAGTGGAAGGACAGCTTACAACATGCACAGCAGGAAGATCCCGACATCAAGCCGATTCTGGAATTGATGAAGGCTAGTGCTCCCAAGCCCAAGTGGAGCGACGTGTCAGCGATGAGTTCGACCACTAAAAGCTATTGGGCCCAATGGTACAGCTTGCTGTTTCAGGATGGAGTTCTGTGCCGTAAATGGGAAAATGTTCGAGGAGACAGCTGTCATTTGCAAATGGTTGAAAAGTACAGGATGTTCTACAGCTGTACCATAATGATTGTTCAGGAGGCCATCTGGGAGTTAAACGAACTCTACTGAAGATCCGAGAATGGTTTTACTGGGTCCACTGTCGAAACCATGTCGAGGACTGGTGTCGCAAATGTACAAGTTCTGCGGCTGTAAAGGGACCTCAGACTCGTAGTAGAGGTGCATTGAAGTTGTACAATGTTGGTGCACCATGGGAGAGAATAGCCATTGACGTGGCGGGGCCGTTTCCGGAGAGTGAAAGCGGTAACAAGTATTTCATGGTTGTGATGTATTACTTCACTAAGTGGCCAGAAGTCTTCGCCATTCCAAATCAAGAAGCTTCAACAGTTGCGGATAAACTAGTTCATGAAGTCTTCTGTCGTTTTGGAGTACCTTTAGAGATTCACAGCGATCAAGGAAGGAATTTTGAGTCTCAAATATTCCAGGAAACTTGCCGAGTTATGGGTACTCATAAAACAAGAACGACTTCTTATCACCCGCAATCTGAAGGAATGGTGGAACGATTTAATCAAACATTGGAGAGGTACCTAGCAAAAGTCGTGCCGTGGTAGCTCAGATGGTTAACGCTCGCTGTAAATATAACAGAACGCGAGTAACCCGGGTTCGATCCCCGCCGGCACCAATGAAATTGTTAATTGCAATTTTAAGTGCTGATTTACCACGTGCTCGGCGGTGAAGGAAAACATCGTGAGGAAACCGGCATGTCTGAGGAATAAGAAAAAAAAATTATTTCGAAGACATGTGAAGTTCGCCAACACGCATTAGGGCAGCACGGCGGACACTTCCTTGCCCTAAAACCCTCTCAGAAAATGAGGGGAGGCCTGTGCCCAGCAGTGGGACTTATATAGGCTGTAACTTTACTTTGCTAGCAAAAGTTGTATACAATCGGAAACGAGATTGGGACAAGCACATACAACCGTTTTTGTTGTCATATCGAAGCGCTGTTCACGAAAGTACAGCAGTGACATCAGCTTTCGCAAACTTTGGAAGAGAATTACGGCTGCCTGCAGACCTGATCACCGGGATACCACCTGATGCCCGACGCAGTATAGCTGATTATGCAAATGACTTGCGGAACAAAATGAATGACATTTATGAGCACGTCAGACAATCGGGCCAGCAAATGTCTGAAAAGATGAAAACCCGGTATGACCGCAAAATGAACAACAAAGGGTTCGACGAAGGTTCACTAGTGTGGTTGCACAATCCAGTCCGCAGCAAAGGGAAATCTCCTAAACTTCAAGTTAAATGGGACGGCCCGTACCGAATTGTGACCAGGATCAACGATGTAACCTACCGGAAACAGAAAGGCGCAAGAGGGACTCCTAAGATCGTCCATGTAGTTCGCCTTGGCGCGTTATTATGGGGCCGATAATGCTCGGGACGAGCATGTCTTAGGAGGGGGCAGTGTTGCGCGCCTAAGTTGACGTCTGGCACTAGCGCCATCTAGTGTCGGATAACAGGAGGAGCGAGGAGAGCTTTCCAGAAAATGACATGACTAATCTTTTAACCAACAGCGCAATCTAGTATCGAATTGAAAAACTAAGCTTTCTAGAAGCCTCACACTCGAACTTTCTGCGTCTGGTCGGTCGGCGCCCGTATTTACGGGGATATTCTGGATGTTTCGGCGTAAAAGTGTATTTAAACAAGCTGCATGCCGCGATCGGGGCAGTATTGAGTTTGGCGAGACAAGCGAAGCTTCGGAGCGAAATAAAGTGAATCAGTGTGGTTAATTATTAGTGTTTTAAGTTTTAATTGGTGTTCGGTAATAAAAGTGTAAATTTTGGTAATTCAATCGGCAGTTTTTTATTGTCACGAACCTCAAGCTCGTAACAATACGTTGCACTGCTGGGCACACGCCTCCCCCCATTTCTGATAGGTTTTTAGAGCAAGGAAGTGTCCGCCGCGCTGTTCCAATGCGTGCGTGTTGGCGAACTTCACACGTCTTCGAAATATTTGTTTTCTTATTTCTTAGACTTGTAGATTTCTGACTGCCGACGGGGATCGAACCCGGCTTGCTTGCGTACTGTGAAATTTACAACGAGCGCTAACCATCGCACTAACAAGCGACTGGGACACGGTGACGGACCGCTCCGGGCTCAAATGCAGAAGACGGTGCTCCTCCATACCGCCCGCGCATCGTACGCCGCTTTTTCCCCTTTCCACCTAACCTTAGTTAGTTTTTTTAGTTTTCACTGCCGAGGGCTTCCTTTTCATTGTGTTTATATTTATTTGTGTATTTTTTATTTATTTATATTACAATATTTAATCGATTACTTTTATACTATTCGTTCGAATACCGAATACTTAACTAAGAGGTTTTATTGTAGTCAGATGATTGGTAAAACAAAAATATTTATTTATTTTATGTTTTTTTCTTGTTATCATTAAAGTAGTCATAGGTACATAATCAACTACCGTATTATAAAAATTAAAAAAGAATTATCAGATAATATCTATTCTCTTCTTAATATCTGCACTCGAATTATCGTAATTAAAGTGGAAGATAATTGTGCAGAAAGACAAATATTTCTTCATTTTCAAGCTGTAGTTAACTCCTTTTCTTTTCGTAAATAACCGCAGCTTCAGAGAATAGACGCCGTGAAGAACAAACGCTACTTCTTCCTAGCCGAATATTTTTGCTTAATATTCGGCTATTCGGCCAGGAAGTCCGCAGTATATACCCTCTGGTGGAGTGTATGCCCGTTTTTTTATATAGGATAGGGTGACAAACGAACACACAGTCCACCTGATGGTAAGTAGTTGCTGTGGCCCATAGACATCTACATCTATCCTCGATTACGAATCATAATGCAGATATGCGTTGTCACCACTAAGTGTGTGAGCACTAAGATGGAATGCCTCTTTTCCAGTAAAAAGGGTCTCCGGTTCTCTACACTCACCATACGAAACACAGCAGCTACTATTTCACGCTGGTATTCTGTGAGAGCGTGGTCCTTCCCCGGTTGAGCCGAATCATTCGTGCTACAACGAAGTATACTACTAATTTAACTGCAGCATGGCTCTACAACGTACTTCTTTCTATAAAACAATCGTTTCTGTATACAATATCCATAATATACCTTTCATGACGTAAAATTAAACGTTAACTAAATTTTAGCTTTCTATGACATGTTGTACTTTATTGAACACGACATAAAATTTTAATGAATTGTAATATGCGTAATTATGCAGCCATATTTTCCATGTTATAATTTAAAAATCAATTACGAAATCAACATCAGTGCATAAATATCAATGCGTTTTCGTTTCTGAAGAAAACATGAGAGCTGTGGTATTTTTATTTGTTTTGAACGCTCTGTCAACACTACCTTCATTGGTGAGTTAGATTTCTTTTTATTATATAGATTATAGCTAGCACCTTAACCAACATTATTGAAATATGATAAGGAATATAAAATCGGCAAGTATTCTTTAGTCTTTGTATTTTATTAGATCTTTATCAATAAGTTATTTTTATAATATTTTTATATAATGCCGTTTTTATATAATAGGTTAACGTAATTTTTTTCTTTATTTTTAATTTCTATTAATCAAAATAATCATCGTCAAAATCATAAACGCAGTGGCAGTTTATTGATGCCCTTCTTGAAGAAATCAGCTGGACGGGAGGCAATAAATTCTTTAAAGACATTTTGTACTGCCTCTCGGGTATTAAATTTTTTCCGCCAAAAAGTTATCCAAATTCTGTAAAAAGTAGAAGTCTGTAGGCGCAAGGTCTGGTGAGTACGGCAGATGACGGAGAAAGAAAAGAAGAAGAAGAAAGAAGCTTCCAACCCCAGCTCTTGTAACTTGGAGATCGTGTTGTGCAGTAAGAGGTCGCGTGTAAGAGGTCTCATACAGGTGCAGCGGGGACGAGTGATTGACTAAAGCAGGTTGGATACGAGCGAGCATCTTCATCATTGTGTTCAGTTCTTCACAGTACACATCTGCAGTAATGCTCATCCCGTTTAATAAGAAGCTGTGATAAATCACACTGACGCTAGACCACCGAATAGTAATCATCACTTTTCTAGGGGTCAGTTTTCGTTTAGGCCATACTTTAGGTGCTGAACCAGGATCCAGTAAACTTGCTGAGCGCTTGCTATTGTCATACAGAATCCATTTTCGTCGCAGGTAAGAATGCGTTTCAAAATTCATTCGTGTGTGTGTCTGTTGAGCAGTGCAAGTCACGTCTCGACGCGTACTTCGCGCTGGCAATCACTGAGTTCGTTGGTCACCCATTTGTCAAGCTTTTTTACCTTGCCAATTTGACGTAAATGGACCAATATTATTTTGATGCTAACGACGAAAGCTGCTGCTGATTCAGCCGAAGATTGAGTATCGTCAGCTTCCACAATCGCCTATAAAAATAAAATATAATATAAGAATAAAAATTCGAAAATGATCAAAAAATTGTTCAAGTTTTTCGGATAAAATATAGCCTATACGAGTATCTCTCCAGGCGCATGTATGAAAGATCACCACGTGAGAACGGCTGGACCAATTTTGATGAAATTTTTAGTGTGTATCTTAGTGGGTCCTTCAATGGTTTGGATTTAGAATTGGAGCCGGTAGGTGCAGCTGTTACGGAGATCCAATAACACATGCGGAGCCAGGCAGCAGCGACATGCCGTAAATGGCTACCATTTTCATCTGCACGGAAAGGCCATGTATAATCCATGATGTCCAATGACCTATTTACGGGTTGAGGTGGAAAATGTTTCATTATTAGACGGTTTTAATTTTTTGTCAAACTAAAAATAATATAAAGTAACAACCTGTATACGTCATACTGCTAGGAAAAGGTCTTCTCTTATTTCTGAGGCGGTTTCCTTGAAAGAGCCAATTCAAGGCGCATTCTTCATATGTCCCCCATTTTTTAATAAGTAGATACCTACTCAGTCTCAGTCAGTACAGTCTCATAGGCTTCCTCACGATGTTGCCCTTTATCGCAGAGTAAGGTGTAAAAAATAAGCAAAAGAAACACTGAATTGCAACTATCAATTTAATTTGTACCATTTGGGATCGAACTCGGTACCCCTGAGCTACAACGAAGTAATTTTGAGAATGATATAATGTACACCATATTTTCTAGGCTTCATTTTTAAAACGCATAATAAATATTCATATTAATACTAGTGTTGCTCTCCCCGTTGAAACGGAGGCAACTTTATATTCTTTGCCCTTTCTTTATTTGCCCAACGGTGGCAACTATGGCAGACAGGGGGGATCCCTGTGAGGCAATCTATAGGGGAGACCGGATGAGTGGGCTTTTGATAGGCTGTGTAATTACTGTAATTATTGTGAATAAAATGAAAAAATGTAACGTGGCTTTTAAAACAGTCCTCGGATTCTTGCCGGTGTTGTTTTTGCGAACTGGTGTAGATTTTGACGTTCATAAAAGCTGTAAAAAGCTTGAATTTAATTTATTTTCTAGCCTATTATATGCACAAAGAGTTAACGCTTATCCACAGTCAATTCAACAACTAAAATTGTATTAAATATTGTTACAGAATTCACAAAAGATTGCAAATAAAAGAAGATATTCTCTTTACACACCTGAAAAGTTAGAAAATACAAAAGTTCGATCACTACCAACGGCACCTGTTACACTATATAAATACCCTTACAATAGCATCAATAGTTATGTCACTGCTCCGAATAGCAACCATAATGTAATCCCTCAAAATAACTACGTAAAAAACAAGAAGCTCATGAGATTAAAATTATTTTACGAAATCTTAGCAAAAAAACGTAATAAAAAGTTTTTCAGAAAAAACAAAAACCCGACTCTTAATTATAAATTGGCTGATAGAAATATTCACAGAACGTCCATTGTTCAAAATCCTAGCCATATACAAAATTATATCATAAATAAAGGACACAACACAAACCTTATAGGTAGTAGAAGAACCAAGCTAGACGATCCTACAACCAAGTATCGAAATAACGAAAAAACTTATGAGCTAAACGAAGATGGTAGAAATTATTACAAAAAACCTATGTATCTAATGAGTGACCCAGAACGAAGTAATTTTGAATCTAAATCACTAATAAATTTTAAAAACGAGTCTAGTGAACATAACAATAACTTAGAGCCTTTAGATATTCATGAATCTTCTGTAAGACGAAGTGAACCTAGTAACTTGATCGACCAATATTACGTCAATGAAGATTCAACCGATGCTCCATTTGAAGTCTCTGATACTGTTTTGAATAACGAGGAATACTATCTTCTAGATCTTGATGCTTCAAAAAGATCCTTTGCATTTAAGCCTCCCTTTGGTTTGTTGCATCCCATCAAAGATTTAACAAATAAAATTAAAACACCGTTGCCTAACCATATGAAATTCAAACCCTATTTGACACATTATAGTCTGAACAATTTACTCGTGCCACAAAATGATAACAATGAATTGCAACTAATCAAAACTTATTTAACAGAGTTAATGAGAGGTGAAAACTACAATAATCCTAATATCATACAAATTCTATACGACGCCAATGAGCTAGATTTGTCAAACCTTGATTTACTTGATCAGTCCCAGTTGGTAAAATTAAGCGAAACTGATTTACAGTACTTGAAGAGATATTTTGTTCTTATATTAAATAAATATGGCTTAACTCCATATATTCTTAAGCTCTTAGAATATATAAATCTCATCGAAGGTAAACCAAAGAATGAAACTTATTTATTGTTCAAGATTTTAACTAATCAACAGGCGGTGAATAATTTAAGCCCCGTTGAACTAAGTCAAATAAAGCAACACTTGCAGCACATTTTAAATGAATATGGTCAGAGTCCCTATATTTTACCATTTGTACAAAACATCAAAGGAATTAATATTGACCCTATCAGCAATAAAAACATACTTTTTCTAGATGTTAACAATCACGGTAATTCAGATTATGTAACTCAAGAAGACATGACACGGATTTTTTTGTACTTGATACAATCTTACAGGAATAATCCTTTAGTTTTAAAAATCATTCAGAATTTAAATGAAACATACGAGAACCCCAATCACGAAATGGCTATACCCTTTCTAGATATAAGTTATTATCAAAGTTTAGCTTTTCTGAATCAGAATGATTTAGATCTATTCGTTAAATACATATTACAGATTATAAAACGACGGGGTGAAAATTGGTACCTTAATCGGTTACTATTTTATATTAATCAATTACGAGGCAGTTTTAACAAAGGTATAAATGTAACATTAGTATATGATAACAAGAAATTTTTCCAGAAAAATCAAAAGGAATTAGATTTGACTAAACTATACAAATTATTACTACAATTCAACAACACAAATGGCGTAAATCAGGAAATCTTTCAATTTTTTGGACCTTTTACCAACAAAAAACAAAATGAGGACAAAGCGCAAAGACCGGTAAATCTAAGCGCTGATCACTTAGCTGAATTAAAAAATATTTTCTTACAGATTAAAAACAAAAATAAGGTGAATTCAATATTAGTAGACATTCCACAAATTTTAAATCAGCCTGAAAAGAAACAAGTACAACACCATGACTTACAACCCCAAGTTCTAGATAGTAAGAACACTATTGACATGAATTTGCATGATATGGAGCAAATATATAACTACTTACAAAACATGAATAATGTTAAAGATAATTTTCACATTGTTAAAATATTGCAATTGATAAAACAAACACAAAATCAAAACAATTTTAAAGATAAAAACGGGATAATTAAAATTAAACACAATGACTTAGCGGAACTTTACAACTTCTTATTACAGTTACAAAAAGAAGATACAGGAAATTCAATATTTAAAAAAATACTTCAGTATATAAACCATAATAAGGACAATGTACTAAATACGAATAATAATTCTAGTCAAAGTCAGGAAAACATTAACCCGAAAGACTTAGATGTTATTTATTCCAAATTACAAAAATTAAAAGAAAATAATGAATCAAGTACCGAACTACTGCAGTATATGGTATATGGTAAAAATGTTCAAAAATATGAACCTAAACTGAACGTACTTTCTTATGCCACTAGTGATGCTTTGGACAGAATTAAAAAATTCTTACTGACTTTAATGAAAGAACAAGGTGAAATCCCTTATGTCTTTCAAATATTGCTGGATATTAATAGGGTTCAAGGTATACCCGAAATTAAAAATAATAAACACTTATTTTTAGTTGATGATACAGTTGCTGAAGTTAATGAAGATGATTTACAGATTTTATCAAAGTATTTGACAAAAATAATAAGTGAAGCTGGTGAAAGCGCTGACGTGCTGAAAATTCTAGAATATGTTTATGAAGCCCACGAAAAAATTAAAGCAGAGAAGGAAACTCAAAACAAACAGAATCCAATTGATTCGTACATTTTACAGATTATTAATAATAGGTATATAAGTCCAGAGCTTGTGAATATTTTAAGGTATATAAACAGTGATAATTGGAACAATCTTTTGAAAAAAATAGAGAACCTCAAAGAGGATGACTTAAACGTATTAAGCATGTATTTACAACAAATAATTACCCACTTTGGAGCTAGCTCACGTATAAAGGTAATATTAGCTTACATAAATAAAATAAATAAAAACGCTAAACATAGAAATGATAACTTAATCATTTATTTTAACAATACTCATTTGAAAGATAATGATAAACAAAACCAAACAACTTTCAAAATAACCAGAGAAAATCTAATCATGATAAATAAAGATTTATTTGATTTATTAAAACGGTATGGCATAAATAGTAACGCTTTGCGAATATTATACGAAATAAACCACATTACGGAAGGACCAAACAAGGAAATGAATACTTTGAAATTGATAACTAACACTGATATCAATGACACAGATATGAAATTTGAAGACTTTAAAGCCATTAATAGTTATATATTACAACTGATAAATAAACGTGGTGTAAACTCTTATTTACTAAAAATCTTGGGGGATATTAATCAAATTTACGGAGATCCAACAAATTACATTAACACATCAATCTTAAAAGTTAACAATACTCACATAGTGGCAATTGTAGACTCGAACGATATAAACAGAATAAAATCAAATTTGATTGACCTATCAAATTATTATGGTTTAAAGCCGTATATAAGGAAAATATTGAATAATATAAATTCAGATTACAACAATCCCAACGTTTATTCATTTATTAGGCTGGATCAGAATAATGTAAAACAATTAACACAATTTCTCTTGCAACTCATGGAAAAACATGGTGCTTTTTCTAAATTCGTAGAAATCCTCAAGTTTATTTATCAAATCTACGGTGATATTGATAAAGAAACGAAATCAGACGATGCGAAAGAGCAACATATGTTAGAAATTACTAAAGAAATTAATATGTTACTTGAGCATGGCGTAATGCAGTTTATAAAAAATATAGAAATAGATAATTTGAACACTCTGTATAACTCCATTTTGCAAAATATTTTTATTTCACCTAATACATTGGGGAACAATGATTTACCATCGATATTAGCAAGATTGATTGTCAGTTACAAACAAGAAGTGTCTCCAGTAAATAAATATATTTTACTTAAACTGTACGAATATATATTAAAAAATGATGGAGTCCCCTTTGAAACTTTCTGGAAGCCCAGTTTTATTAATGTTCTATTAGATTTAAATGTCATGGAGCAAAACAAAGATAGACCTTATACAATTCATGAAGTAAGTATGAAAGCTACATATTAAATAAACTTAAATTTAGATAATAGATAAGATCTGAGTCGAGGTACTCTTCTCAAATTGATACCTAATATTTACGTGGTAGAGCCATGCTGTAGCTGTTTACTGAGTGCAGCAACAAAGTGTTGGCTCGACCAGTGTAGAACCACACTCTCACGGAATACCAGCTTAAGGGGCAATAGGCAGAATAATGCTGCATTTCGTAGGGTGATAACGCATCTGCATTTTTATTCTTAATCGGATATAGATTTGAATGTCTATGAGCCGCAGCATCAGTTCATAATTCATAATTGTTATTAAAGTCATAAGCTTTGTTTACGTAGTAGAACCACGGTGTAGTATAATAGCTGTAGTGTACAATTATATCAGCTCGATCGGGAGAACCACGCTGTCACGGAATACCAGTTATAATCAGAAGAATAATGCTGTGTTTCGTATAGTAAATGAAAAGAATCGGAGACGCTTTTTACTGGTACCAAAAAAAAACCATTTTATTCCTCAGGGGTGACACATATGCATTTTTATTCATAACCAGGATATATGTCTTTGGGCCACAGTATCAACTTACCATTAGGTGAACTGCAGTACTAAAGTAGGATATTCTCGTAGTTACATAGTGTGTATTTTATTTAATTGGATGAGCTCATATTTGTGGTTGGGCTTGAGATAAGAGTATCCGTCATGTGGCGTGGATGTTGCAGTGTTGGGCGAAACTTTTGAAATATCGCAAAAAAGTTGACGGAAGAATAGTCTTAACTTTCTTTCTCAAGTAAGGCTCACCAGGAACGTATGGTGTGCTTTCCTACGCGGCCACTTATTCCAGCTGCGTAACGAAGCCCTCCGCATACGATACACAGTGGCTATGAGAGCAGGAAAAACCCAGCACCAACACCAGCTTTCCTGGTCCAAGCAATGGATCTGAAATATGGCTCCACCGCCATTCAAGATTTGGCTGCAGAAGGTAGGGAGAGCAGCACAATCGCATCTACGGTGCGAATCGCCAGAGTCCCGGAGATAGGGCGAGTGGCGCATCGCCATACCAAAACTCCTTTTCCCCCACTCCAACTCGACTGCAGCGATAGGGAGAGAGGACACTCCTCTCGCCGCAGACCACTACTACACATCCGAAGTGGACTCTCCAAGCCCGCTCAGAATGGCCACCTCGGGCCGGCCCTTCATCTCGGGTGAGCCGTATAGGTTCTTCTTCGTTCACCATGGGTAACAAAGCCACGGTTACCAAGCCCCTCGCCACGACAAGGTGGGAACCCGTTACAGCTGTATTACGGGTTCAGCAAGAATGAGTCTGCTCCGGAGGATACCAGCGTAAAATAGCAGCATAAGGCTGCTATTTTACCGCTGCTAATGCTTTAGTATATAGACAACGGCCTATGAACCACAGCATTCACATACCATCTGGTGAAATGTATATTTGTTTGTATATTTTTTTTAAATAAACGTTACCGCCACACTAGGATTTTCTTATGAATCGTGGAGGCAGTTTACACACACAAATTGCAAAAGAACAAACATCCAAACCCGGAACAATTACATGTAGGCCATACAAATAGTTGTTCCGTGCGGGATTCGAACTCACAGCCCTCAGCGCTATAACTCATTGTTAAGCTGCTGCGCAACGGAGCCGTCTATATATATAGATAGATATAGAAATTAGATAGGATATTATCCGAATGATTTCTAACACTTTTTTTGTTTTCAGCAACCTGATAAAAAGTATTTTATCGTTCGGCCTTATCATTACAAGCAAGATATTGAATCAGTATTAAAGCAACTAATACAAAATACGACATGGAATTAATCAAATGCGAATAATTTGATTGAGGAAAATAAAACTTATTAACAAATTACACAATTTATGAAATAAGCGATAGTGAATCATATAACATAATTAAAGATTCAAAGAATATTAAAGATGGATCTTGTGTTGCTGCTAACAGAAAATTTACGGTCATTTTATACCTATTCAATAATATGTTGCGTCTAAATAAGCATAAAGTAGATGTAACAATGAGAGATTTAGAAAAAATGTTCGATATATTCATAATTTTTATGAAGAAGTTAAGTCTTGAAAAATACGGTCAAAATATACCAACGAATGCTTTAAAACAGGAATTACAAAGCAGACTTCTTCAAAAGCATGCTGCGAGCTCATCATCATACTGATACTGCACAGGTATTAATAACTAGATTAATTGGAAACTTACGAAGCATAGTTTCATACTTGAGAGAAAAGAAATATTCTAACGATAAAATAAGAGACATAATTGCGACCCTTGTGGAAACTGTTTATCCTGATCTTACTTCTATAACCGTTAAAGATTGCAAATTGAGAACGAATAAGGCATTAATGGACAGTTTATACACTACCATTTACTTAATTAAACGAACCTCAAGCTAACGAAATACAATTCGTATCAGGTCAAGTTACACAAGGAAACAGCGCTATAGACTTTCTACAAACAGTGTCCATGCAAGAGCTTTTAAAAGAGATTGCCAGATATAAAAAAATGTATAATTCTGTGAATTTATATTAGCGACGTATCAATTAATGTTCAGCTAGATTTATTAAATTAAGTACGATTTTAATTGATGTTTGTTATAAAAAGTAATGTCAATGTTTAAACATTCCACCCCTTCAATCACTTGTATTCAGAAGTTTGCTTTCACTCCATGTAATATAACACTCTAGTAAACTTATTTTCAAGTGATAATAAAGTGTTTAATTATCTAATGCGTTTTTTTTACAACACACAAACTCTTATATGTTGTCAGCGATGAACTTCTAAACTACTTAACTGATTTCAATGTATTTTTGTAAATGTGTATTGCTTGCTCCAATTTGAGAGATATTTTGATACCGATAATTGACTCAATATTTTTTATTGCGAATTTAAGAATTTTTATAAGACAGCAAGTTAGAAATCGATTTGCAGGAAAGTAGGCAGTTATCAACGATCAATACAAAATATAAAATAAACGTTTTTTTAAACACTAAACAAAGTGATATTTCAATAAAATTCACAGCTTATTCAGTCAAGTAACCGTTTAGTAGCAGTGTAAGAATATCCATTACCCCATATCATCCCGTGGGTGACGTGTGGCGATAGATGAAAACAAACCAGGAGATAGGCAGCTACATCTTCCCGATAACAACTCAAAATAATAACAATACGTTGCCAACCCGTTTGCCAAGCGTGGCACATAGTTGCCAAATCCCATGAGGCATTATTTATGAGGGAAGCCTATGTTAAGCAGTGGGCTTTTATAGGCTGTAATGGATGGTAATGGAATTTAGTCAATCTGTCGGTATACGTATCCATATACGTGGTAGAGCCATGTTGCAGTTATATTAGTAGTATAGTTGTAGCACTAATGGGTCGGCTCGACCGGGGAAGGACCACGCTCTCACAGAATACTAGCGTCAAATAGCTGCTTAATGCTGCTGTGTTTCGTATGGTGAGTGGAAAGAGCCGGAGACCCTTTTTACTGGAAACGAGGCATTCCATCTTAGTCCTCACGAGTGACAACGCATCTGCATTTTGATTCGTAATAGGGGATAGATGCAGATGTCTATGGGCCGCAGCAACCACTTACCATCAGGTGGACTGTGTGTTTGTTTGTCACCTTTATTCAATAAAAAAAACCATAAAGAGTTAGGAAAAAGCATTACGAACGCACGGCTCTAGCTCTGAGCTATTCAAAACACTTGTAATTTGGAGAGGATTACATACCGAAAAAACATACAATCGAACTGACAACCTCTGCACGAACTTAGCACAGATGTGTGACGATCTAACAGAATACCATAGTATAATAGCAGCTCCGTGCTACTGCTTCACGTGGTAAGTGTAAAGAAAAGGTTAAACAGGGTCTCCCTTTTTAATGGAAATAAGGTATCTTAGTTCTTAGGGCAACAACCCACTTACCATCAGGTGGACCATGTTCTCATTTCTCATTCTTTTTCTATAAAAAAAAAGCGATCGTTTTGAAGTAAGGTTCTTCTGACCGGAGATGAAATGGCAAAACAAACTTCATAGACATAAGAAAACTGGTTTAATCACTTCGTTATGGCAGATACATTTGTCGTACCGTCAGTCAAACAGCAATACTAAAAACCTGAAATAGTAATAATGTCCTCCAGACCGAATCTGTCACAGTGCCCAGTCCTATGGCTAACTACCTTCGCAGGACGGACCTATAGTATACGAGTTTACTCGCAACACAGGTTTACTCTCTAATCCTTTACACTCATACTCCGTTGGATGGCAACCCGACACTACCGGAAAGAGATCAGTGGCAGGATCTACGGCTTTGGGTGTTTTCCAAGACACGAAGTGAAATACAGCGAGCTTCCTGATTCTGGACTGCTAACGAAAATATCTTGACAAAAAAATTTAATAAGTGATTTTAACCTGACCCGAAATACGAACCCGAGACCCCATGATCTGCAGATTCACTTAGGACTGACTCTGTGGAATATTTTTACATAGTATAGGGTGACAAACGAGCACACAGTACACCTGATGGTAAGTGGTTGCTGTAGACAATAGACATCTACATATATTCTCAATTACGAATCAAACTGAGGATGCGTTGCCACCCGTGAGGACTACGGAAGAATGCCTCGTTTCCAGTAAAAACGGTCTCCAGTTCTCTACTCACCATACGAAACACAGCAGCATTAAGCTACTATTTTACGCTGGTATTCTGTGAGAGCGTGGTCCTTCCCCCGGTCGAGCCGACTCATTTGTGCTACAACATACTAATATAACTGCATCATGGCTCTACGACGTATAGACATTAAGGTAAAATATCAGCTTAAAATAGCTGCTTAAATCTATTGTGTTTCGTATGGAGTGTAAGTGTAGAAAATAGTAGACCCTTTCCACTGGTAACAAAGTATTATATCTCAGTCCACAGGTGCGTAAACGCATCTGCATTGATTCGTAATCGAAGATAGATGTAGATGTCTATGGGCCACAGCATCCACTTACCATCAGGTGGACTGTGTGCTCGTTTGTCACCCTATTCAACAATTCAACATTATTTTTAATTTAACTAGGAGTACAGTTCTGTTAGTCATCAATCAATCAATTGTTCATTACGCCTGGCTAGCGTGACAATTATGGCAAATATAATATGACCAAAGTCAAATCTTGTTTTTTTTTCTGCCAAACAAATCTCAATAGCAGCATCCCCGTGCCTCGGAAAACACGTAAAACCGTAGGTCCTGCGTCTGACCTCTCTTCAGCCGTGTCGGTTAACCGTCTCAAGTAAGAGAATAGAGAGTGCACCTGTACTTGCCCACACACTAGTGTGATATAATAACCGTCCTACGCAGATAGGTAGTCTCCGTTGAGAGGGGCCACCTGCTCTCAAACACGTACTAAAGTTAAAAACAAAATAAGTTTTATAGATACGAGTGATAAACGAGCACAAAGTCCACCCGACGGTAAGACGATGCTGTGGCCCATAAACATCTATCCTCAATTAAGAATCAAAATGCAGATGCGTTGTCATCCCTGAGGATTAAGATAAAATGCCTCATTTCCAGTTATAAGGTCCCTGGTTCCCTACACTCACCATAAGTAATTTTATTTGCATTAAGGTGAAGGTTTGACGCTGGTATTCTGTTCGAGCCGCCCATTCGAGCCACAACCATAATATTGCTGCAGCGTAGTTCCAGCTCGTACAAAATTGATTGATATTTAACACTTGATTAAGATTGAATTTGCGCGTTGTAATTACATGCTAGCCAGTCGTTAATTTGATATAATCGCCTAGGTAATTTCACAGTCGATAATTTAACAACATACTGCTACGCCAAACAAATGATATATAATTGAACGGTTAATGTCGAGACAGTAGAAATATGTTGACGAAGCTATTCGTGGTCCTTTGGTCAGCTCACGCCGTTCTATCGGACAATGTGGTAAATATTATTTGATATATATTAATTAGATTATCTTATCTAAGTATCTACTTAACGGCTCCGTAGCGCAATGAGTTGCACCACTGAGAGCCGCGGGTTTTTTTATAGGATAAGGTGACAAACGAGCACACAGTCCACCTGATCTCTACCTCTACATTCACCATACGAAACACAGCAGCATTAAGCTACTATTTTACGCTGGTATTCTGTGAGATCGTGTTACTTCCCCGGTCGAGCCGACCCATTCATGCTATAACTATACTACTAATATAACTGCAGCATGACTCTACCACGTATGAATACCGCACTTAACAAATATTTGTATGGCCTACAAATAATTGTTCAGCGTCTGGTCCGTTTGTCCTTGTGAAATTTATGTATATAAACCGCCTCCACGTTAGGTACGTGCGAAAATCCTAATATTTTTTAAAAAAATAAAAGCAAAGACGAAAAATATTTTTTTAATACTGTGGTGCTGCAGCCTATGGACACCTGCAATAACTTTAAGCAAAGAGGGTCATACGTGTTATTAGTTACAGGGTTAGTTAATGCCAGGGGTTATTTTTGTTCATACATTCCTTGATATTATAAATTATATTATATTATACCTTTATATTAGCCTCCTTGGAAGAGGATTACTCCTCCCCATTTCCTCATCAGTTAAGGTGCTACAGAACACATGACGCGCCTTCCTCCGCGACCTCCAACTTCACTTGCGCCACGGACGCCCCTGTGTCCGATGCGCGAAGGACATGGTGCCTGAAAAAACGAACACTCAAATGCACTAGCCTTCCTGATCAAAGCGGCGGATCTGGTCTATGGCTCCACCGCCACTCAGGATTCGGCTACGGAGGGTAGGGAGAACGACGCTACTCCCCCCCTCCTCCCGCAGCCCCACCACTATTGCATCACCGTTGCGGCCCCACCAGAGTCGCGGAGAATAGAGCGAGTGGCGAGTCGTCATAACAACACTCCTATTCCTCCACAACTCCACCCCGGGTGCAGCGGTAGGGGGATAGGACACCCCTCTCGCCGCATCACACCAACACTCATCCGAAGTGGGCTCGCCAAGCTCAATCGGATTGGCCACCTCGAGCCAGCCATGTGGGTTTCTCCTAGTTCATCGCGGGTGACCAAGCCACGGCTAATATTCCTCCCCGCCACGATAAGAAAGGAACCCATTCGGGGGTAATAAGGTCTTAACTACTCAAACGGGAGTCCGTAAAGCAGGAAAGGATTCTTATTACAGTGTGCAGTACGTGAAGGTTATATAGGCATGCGGTTAATATGGTCACTATCTTAAAACTTAAAAACTACAGCCTTATTTGTCATCACGATATCTCTTCATCAATCAATCAGATAGTAAAGGGTCAAAAGGGCAGTCGACATTACAGTAAATATTTTAGTCGATTTTAATATTGTTATTTGACTTCTCGAAGTGTTCCTAATTATTGTCAAAGTTTGTTTTCTATTCTTTTCTCAATATATTACTTATATTATACAACCGTGTGTTTTTGTCTCTGTCGTCTTCCTAGTTTTGGTTTTATATGGCGGCAAAGCTTAAGGTGACCATATTACCCTCACGCACCTTAGGATTCCTCACCGACTGTTAAAACATTGGCTTTTCCTGTTTGGAAGTAGGAGTAGGTAAAATTAAAGTCCATAAATAATAATTAAAAAGCTGAAGGTACTCCGGGTTAACATTGACATCGGGACGTCAGTTACCTCAGTACCCCGTGACCATGGGAGCCTGAAAGCACCCGAAACGTCGGGAATTAAATTAAACGCGATGAAATCCGTAAAAGTAGTTTTAACCAATAACAAGGACTATTTTTTATTTCTCTTTTATGAAGCTCGGGAGACGAAATAAGGTGGCCGAAGTGTTTTATTCAAGTCTATATGAGCATTATTTGAAGCTTTTAGCCTAAGGACCTTAGTGGATTTAGGTCGTAGATCCATGTTGCAGCTATATTATGGTTATACAACAAATGGGTCGGCTTAACAGGGTAAGGACATATGCGAGGATAGATGTGTTTGGGCAACAGTATCCATTTATCGTCAGGTATGACGTGGTAGTGCCACGCTGCAGCTGTAATTATGGTTGTAGCACAAGTGGGTCGGCTCGACCAGGACAGGACCACGCTCTAACAGAATACCAGCGCAAAATAGCGGCGTGTTGCTGTTATGTCTCGTATGGTGAGTATAGGGAACCGGAGACCCTTTTAACTGTAAGCGATGCATTTTATCTAAGTCCTCAGGGGTGAAAACGCATCAAAATTCTGGTTCTTAGTCAAAGATAAATGTAGATGTTTACGGGTCACAGCATCCACTTATCCATCAGATGTGCTGTGGGCTCGCTTCTCATCCTTATTCTATAAAAAAGACTACTCGCTGCTAGATCACTAAAAGAGGGTGTTCTTGATGGTACATTAATTTTGCTTGATATCATAACTTTACTAACAAAGTGTAGACTATGCCCTAAAGGGATTTAGATAACCACTTTCATTTTTTTTCAGGACGTCAATGGCGTTTTCAATATATTGTCGTCAGATCGCGAATTGCAACGTATGATACATGGCTACCTTAACGAAAATACTGATGCAAAGGTATTGCGTATTTATTTATTAATAAATTTTAGACATTCATTAACTTAATAAATTTTTATTTTTTAGGTACAACCAGGAACTAAAGTTGAACAGTTCGTACCTAAAATCTGTCCAGCCAGTGAAATATTGATACAAATTCAAGAAATACTAACAAAATTTCTAAATGAAGACCGGGAAACATTTAAAGAATCTTCAAATTTAAACGAGGTTAATATTCAAAAGGACGACGCTCTGATTACTAATGGCCAGCCTGCGGAAAACTATGATAAGCATGAAAACTTAGTAATCCCCATACTTGAAAAAAAAGCATTACGAGACTTATTAAAAAACGGGAAACTGAAAACAAAACTAACAGTACAATACGAGCTCCCGGGTATAGAAGACATTAATTGCAAGCAGGCACTCTCAAAAATACTGAAAATTCTTAAAACAGCTAATTTATATGGTAACAACAACATATTACCCTCTACCATAAATCACGGAAATAATAATGCACCAAATACACTATTTACTCTGTTAAACAGTCAAAAATCACTAAAATCGCCTCAAGATATAGATATTTTAAAAAATCAAATATCAAAGGAATTGAAGGATAAGATTTTGTCGGTACCTAGAGATTACGGGGAAACTGAAAAGTTAAATGATGTTAATGGAGGTGAAAACCCTAAACTGGATCAGATATTTCAAAATGAAAAATTAATTAATTCTAATAGTCGTCCAGATAATGATTTGTCATTTAGATTTAGTGAGTGGTATAAAACCGTCACAAGCGACGGCGAAATTGTTCCATCGCTTCCACCTAGAAACAAAGTATTTAATAATACAGAAGGCAATGCTTTAAATGATCAAGAAACTGTGGATATGAATCAAATCTTAAATAAACTTCCTATGGATGATAATGCCAAGTTACAAAACCAGCATAACATTCCAAGTAATGCAGAAAATCTTTTTAATATTTATTTAAATGATAATGCTAAAAACAGCTTAACCGACGTATTATCACCGCTTGAATCTGGCAACAACAAAAATAAAGATAATGCCAAGTTACAAAACCAGCATAACATTCCAAGTAATGCAGAAAATCTTTTTAATATTTATTTAAGTGGTAACGCTAAAAACAGCTTTACCGATGTATTATCAGCGCTTGAATCTGGCAACAACAACGGCAATCTGGCAGCAAAAAATAAGATATTGGCTTATTTAATGCTGTCTAAGTTTCAAAATAACCAACCTCTACAAAAGTTGCTAATGGCTTCCCAAAATATGAAGTATCCTTATTTACAAGCGTACAATATAAATCCAAATCTAAGCCCTCTTAACCAAATTGCCTATCATTATCCGAACGAAGCCTCTACCAATAATGTATACCAACTACCATATAACATGGGGAATAATAAATATTATAAAAACATTGGAAATACGGAGCCAACACATGGAAACGGAAATTTTGTCAATCAAAATTCAAAGCATGCAAATATTGTTTCAAACGGAGATTCAGTGTATCAGACGTCATATATTAACGCAAATCCTTACTCTGTTTCCAAATTATTTAGTTATGGCAATAATGTGAATCAACAATTGAACGCACCGAACAATTTACCCAATTTGCAACGGGTAATAGGCATGTCTAATTTTGTTAAATTGAATTCCGCACCTGATAGCGCCAGTGTTGTTGAGCTAACGTATGTATTGAGGCAACCTAATCTAGTAGCATACCAGCCGACTTACTTTGTGAAATACCGTCTGCCTTATGAATACTTTATTCACAACTTTCGGGATTTGCTACAAAGAAAACCACATTTAAGAACTGAACCTGATAAATTATATCAGGAATTACTAAATTCATCTAATGTCGCAGAAGTTTCTCCAAATTTAAAAGGCGTAGGAAAACAAGAACTTCTAAGCCTAGTAACTAATAATGGCGCATTAGTAAAAACCGAAGTTGTGGCAGTGGACGAGGCTCTACTCGATAAACAACTAAGAGCCATTCAAAATATTAATTCTAAATTGACGCCGACTGAAATTGTAAATAATTCATATACAATGGAACCAACAAGAAGCTTAGACAATAAATATCATTATTTAAATACAGAATTTATACATGTGGGAAGCTTAAATGAAAACAAAACCGATAAAACAGAAAACATGGTTTTCTTACCACCGCACCCTTTAAAAGCGTAAGAAATAATTTCAATACTATTGACACAAGTTTGCCTTCAAATCAGTTTTCTGTGAATAATAAATAATATGTACCTACTGCATTAATAAAACATATATTACGTAGTCTACTCAGTGCCAATGTTTGAGGCCTAGATTTAGGTATACACAATATCTACAGATGTATATGAAAAAATAAAAATTATTCTACAATGAGACTTTATTTTGCTATATTTATTTTTATCTTGATGAAACTTAGTTGTTGAATTGCCTGATGTATGTTAGTAGGTTAATTCTACTCGCCTGCCCTATATGATGGTTCGAACTGCAGACCCCCTATAACATTGTTTACCTAACGATGCTCCAGCTGTTCAGCCAGACAAATAAAATACGGCAGTTACATTTATTGATTGTGATATCGTATAAAAATAAAAGCAAAACTCAATCGTGAATGATTCGTTCATTTGAACCGGTACACTTAAAAGTATGAATGATTCATTCTTGTTCCTGTTTTTGAATGTTTCGGTTCAACCAACCACAAACAATTAACGAAATCTTTTTAACTTGTGATTGACGTGAATTGTGAATGAGACGAATACCGACCGAATTCCGAATAATTTGAATGAATTGTTTCTAGTGTACACAGTGAATGCATTCACTAGTGTTGCCTAGTTAGGTGATTTTTAGCTATTAAGGCTAGCTCAAAGTAATCGGAGCGACCAAAAATATGATTTTTGACTAGTCGCCAACTAAGCTATGTCAGAAAGAAGGTGATTGTAAAGGATATTCATTGAATCTTTTATTAGAAAATAATAAAAAGCTTTTTCTAAAAATATAACTTATAAAAATAGGTGACTTTTCAAGACTGACTGCTTTGGTCCACGTCAAATTTTTGGCGACTTGGACTCGCCTAGACTAGGCAATACTAGCATTCACCTGCATGGTTCACCACATTGAATGAAGTCAATGAAGTACTAGTCAATAGTCATATATCAAAGTGTAACACAAAATACTCATTAAAGTTTATCAATTGGGTAATTATCTATTTTATATATTATTAAGGTAATTTTATTGTAACTTCTTTACAATGTCGGACATTTTTACCTTATCAGATAGACCTATAGTCAGATTAGGCCATCCAAGGTCTATAATATTTATCTATATTTTTTATCGTTTTTCTGAACAATTCTTGTTTAAATGTTATTTATAAGAAATATGCAACTAAAATTAAAAATATAATTATTATAATTATTAGTCTCGTTACTAAATTACGAGACTTAAGATTATACGAGAAATTAATTCAGAGAATTTAATAAAAATGTGTTCAAATGCAATCTTTCCGCTCATGGAGGTTAGGAATACTTAGGAGTAATACCACAGAGTACCTTTGTATAAACTGAAAAGTAATACTAATACTACTCCCTATATATAAAAAAGTAGTCTGTGAATACTACTTTACTATTAGAACTATGTTGGCTTCGCATGTTGATGTAGTACTTGAGACAACGTGTAGATGGCGCTGTTATAGAATTATTTCATTAGTGACAAAACAACTTATTATATTATTATTATTTTGGGGTATATATATATATAGTTTTCTGATCTGGTTGGGTTCTATAAATATATAATTATAAATTAACCATTTCACTGTCCCATGAGTCATATATGAACATTTCGATTGTTTAACTATTGTGTCTATTTCGCGGATAGGGAAGTTGTTAAAATGAAAAGATAAATATACATAAATATCAATAAAATACAAAAAATACATAAATAAATAAAGATCCAACCAGATGGAAGCCCTCGTCAGGGGAGACCAGACGGCCGAGTGTCAGGAGGAAAGGGAAAGAAACCGGCGGACGATGCGGGCGGTATCGAGGAGCACTGCCTTCGTTCCACTGTTTCGGCTTTCACGAGGTTCTCGTCATACGGAATGGTAATGTCGACCAAAAATATCCTTGACTGTGTCCAGTCCATCAGCACAATATCAGGCTTATTCGCAAGAATAGTCCTGTCTATGATGATGCCCCGGTCCCAATAGAGCCTGGCGCGATCATTTTCGGGCACGGCTTCCGGCAAGTACTTGTAATACGGCAATTTCCGATCCACGAGACCATATTGCAGAGCAAGCTCCTGGTGAAGAATTCTGGCTACTAGGTCGTGTCTGTGCAAGTACTCAGAGTTAGAAAGCGCCGAACAACCGGAGATGACATGCCTAAGTGACTCACCGGGATGGCGACAAGCTAGACAGATGTCGACGGTGCCATCCTTTAGGATGTATCTCCAATAGTTGTTGGTCTTAATAACCTGATCTTGTATTGCACAGACAAAACCCTCGGTTTCCCCGAAGAGGTCACCAAAGCGTAGCATCCATTTTAAGCGCGAGGGAGGCTACTGCGTCTACGAAAGGCTCATGTAGAGCCTTGTAGAACCTCCCGTGGAGCTCCTTCTCCTTCCATACGGTCTCCCGGTCGGAAATGCTCTGCATTGCCGGGTCTTGCCATTGCTCGTTGGCTAAGGATAGAGGGGTAAGTCCTTGATCACAAGAAATGACGTCCTTATAGAATGGATCATCCGATCTCGCTAGGAAGTAATCACGGAGGCTGCACACTTCGCGATTATGCATGGTGAGCGCGCTCAGGAAGCCACGCCCACCATGCTTTCGCGGCAAGTACAGCCTCATTACCGACGATCTCGGATGATGCATCCTATGGAACGTCATGGTAGTGTGGACTTTTCTATCCAGGGCGTTAAGTTCAGTCTGAGTCCACCTGAGTATGCCAAAGGTATACATGAGGACAGACATGACCCAGCCGTTATATGCATGTGCCTTATTCACACCGGACAAAAGGCTGTTAAGCACTTTGGTCAGGCGTGCATAAAAAATGTCGCAAACTGACTGTTTCATACCAGCCTCATCGATACCGATGTTCTGTGACATACCCAGGTATCGGTATGTTTCAGCCTCGGAAAGGGTTCTTAAGTTGACGGGCATAGATAAGTCTATGCCCTCAGAGTTAGTAACCCTTCCCCTTTCAACATGGAGGACCGCACACTTATCCGTCCCCAGCTCCATTCCAAAAGTGATGTTTAGCAATTCCACAAGATGGGAGTGACTGGAGGCGAATAACTTGAGGTCATCCATATAGAAAAGTTGGGTCACTTTTGTCCCTCCTTTCCGTAGCTGAAATCCCCTCCCGGAGCCCTCCAGCAAGGTACTGAGAGGGTTCAGAGAGAGGCAGAACCAGATTGGACTCAGACAATCGCCCTGGAAGATACCCCTTCTTAACCTTATGTGGTTCTCCGCAACCATCATCCGCTCGCCCAGATGACAAAGGATCGTACTCCACTGCCCCATACACTGCTCGAGGAAGTCTCTAACTGTACAGTCTATCTTGTACAGCTCGAGGACTCTCTTTAGCCATGTATGGGGGACCGAGTCGAATGCCTTTCTGTAGTCTATCCAGGCGGCGGAGAAGTTCCGACGGTTGCGTTTCACCACTTTGCCAATGACCGCGTCAATGAGGAGTGGTTCCTTGGTTCCACGACCACCGCCCCGACATCCATTTTGAGCGCGCGACATCACTTGATTTGAGTCCAGGTGACGAGTGATTCTCGCGCTCAAAATGGATGTTAGTGTCTTGTATATGGTCGGTAGACACGTGATGGGGCGGTATTTGCTCGAGTCTGTGGTACCCTGGTCTTTAGGAATCAAATGGGTGAGAGCCTCTTGAAACTGTCGGGCGAGCACAGTGTGACATACCACGAACCCCTTCAGCCAGTAGTGATGCAGCCCGTCGAGTCTCGGACTTTTCCAGTTCGGGGCCCTACGGACCGCCTCACCTACGTCATACGGTGTTATAATGACGGGGTCCATGGGCGTTATACTCTCACACTGACTCGCCACAACTTCCGTCCAAGGGCCCTCGCTGTGGTTTACGGGCTCTGACCACAGGCCGCGCCAGAATGCTACAGTGTCGGCCTGATTCGGTGCTGGTCCCGTTCCACTTACCATTGGTCGCTCCAATGATTCATAGTCTCTTCTGATCACTCTGGAAGAGATGATTCTGGTTGAACGGTGTCGACCTCTCGGTATATCGCCGAATCTGCTTTCCCCAAGCAGCGATTCTCTGCTTCAGATCATCTATGCGCTCCGTCAGTTTCTGCGTTATATCCGGCTGGGACAAACTAACTTTTGTCCCAGCAAACGCCATCCTGACGGTGCGCACAATTCTTGGCCTGTTATTGCCTGATCTGAAGCATATCAGTCTGCCGATGAGAGCTCTAGCCTTTGCGATACGTTCCTCAATTCTTCTTCTCCATGCTGGGATAGCGCTACTTTGGCTAGTAGCGCGTCCAGCCGTGGAAACCTTGGCGCCTATGATACGGCAGACTGCCAGCGCGGCGCCAAAAAGAATTACGTCCGTCTCGCAAAGGTCCCAGCTGGCTTCCAAATGGGTCACCAGCATTTCCACAATAGCCTCTTCCAATTGTACTCCTCATATGCTCTAATTCCAGTTCCTGGGCGACTGTTCCATCATCGTTTGATTCAACCACAACTGGAGTATTCATGGCGGCATCCACATTTGCGGGTTGCTCTACAATTTGTAGCGCCGCATCCTCAGCCGTAGCATTTTCATCCGATGAGGGAACAGCCTCACGTCGTAGCCATTCGAGTTCGGCGACATCAAATATATTTGAGCGCAAGATATACCGAACTCGGTCTGCCAGGTTTTGCTCTGTGACGGTTAAAGATGGCTCCAGCTCATCAAAAAGACGATGCATCCTAGCCCGATACGCCAAACATCCAGTTTCTTCCCCTTTTGCCCTAAAGTACGCCCGCAGTGCGTTTGCGTTCATTGTTTGTGACTAACGCGTGCGACGTGCTCTACCAGCGACGGGTGCCGCTTGCTGAGTCCGAGAAGACCCAGCCGACACCATGCCTTCTGGTGGGGATGATGGATGCGGAGGGCTGCTAGGTGACCGTGCAGCTCCTCGCGCTCGGCTGGCGGCCTGCATGCAGCCGCGTCCAGCGCCAGCTTCCAGACGCGCCATTACGATCCCCAGGCAGCGGCCCTATGCGCGTTTCTCTTTGTGCCATCATCCATTTTATAGTACCAAATAACGGGAGGCACCCAAGCCCGGCACCGTTTCGTGGTTCGGTCATATGCACAAACGGACCTTTGCACCCACAATTTTGCCTAGGCACGGCGCTCACACCTCTTGGCAGGGTGCTGACTGACTGCGCCGACGTAACAGTTTTGTCACATAACTGTAACGTCAGCGGGCGATGGGGTCGTCACTTCCCTACGCCTTTATTATTATTATTGTTTGAAATAAATATATAGATACAAAATCAATAGGTGAATGATCCCATTTTAGAGGTTTTCAAAAAAATGGGCAAATTTAAAGTAGAAATATTTTATAACAAATTTTACAAATGGAATAAATTCTGTAAAAACGCCAACACCATAGAATACTATAAGTAATTATAGTATTCTATGATATACACCACGCTCGCTGATGTACTACACGACTTCAAAGTACTTACTCTGTGTCGATCTGCGAAGCGAAGGTGCGACCTTCATGGTGCGAACCATTCATTCTCTGTCTACGGTGCGAACATAGATAAGAGTGTATATACCGTAGACATAGAAACCTATGGCCTAATGATTAGCGTGGCCTCGAGTGAGAAAGGACGATAACGTAGTTTTAGATTATAGAATAATCTTTACGAGTTTTAAACATGTTTACATAAAATTTTTAATTGTTCTAAGAACAGAACTGAACAAAGTTCACAAATTTTAAGCTTACAGAATAATTTTTTTCCCACTTAAACCAACTTGTAAACTCCTTAGAGAGAACTCCTCCTTGTAGAGACGAACTGTCGAAGTTGTTTAGCAAAGTGTAGTTTGCTAGTTTAAAAAACCGGCACGGAGAAAGGGACAAACAATCACACCGTTCTGTCTCATTTCTATGCAAGACGTATTCATAAATCTATCTTTTTCGTGTGCTAATGTAAAAGAAGACGTCAATTTGTCTATAGGTTTCTCTGTCTACGGTATATACGGAAAGGTGCGAAGACGAAGACGATGTATAGTACGTTTCTAGGGCAGGCGGAAAGAAGTACATTGACCTCAAGTATTATGTTAGCATCAAAACAAAACGACAGTTATTGCTTCCATACATTTCTTTATAGATTACGTATTGTTATGCGCTAAGCGTGTCTCATGGTACGGGGTAGGGTCGCAGTTAGGCGAACGAAGCGGTCATTCAGAGATAATAAACCTGTGTCTCACGCCGTGCGTATACGAGAAAGCGGATGGAGCAAAACTCATTCCTTATTCTGCTTTGAGATGCGCTTGCGTGTAGATAGTTTGAGATTTAAAATTTTCGGTTATAGTAGTTGTTTTAATTTTTGTTAAGTTTGTTTTGTTAGTTGTATTATTACGTTTTGTATTAAAGAATTTGTTATTGTTTTGTGATGTTTTGTATATTATCACTATTATGAAATCGGGTCCATAGACATGAAAATCTCATAAAGACTTTACGTCACTACGAAAGAAGCGGAAATTGTCGCATATTTCGGAAACCGAAAAAATAATAATTGTAAATATCTATAAATATGTAAAAGAAACGTGATCTAGTGACGTATATCCATCCAAAACGGATATGAAAAAGAAGAGTGCCGATATTTTAGGTTATAATCAAAGTGACGGACTCTTCTACATCTACATCATAAAATGATTCTGAAATATTTACATATGAATAGTCTGTCAAGTGTTTCTGACAATCTTTTATGAGAAGTTTTATGTATGTTTCAAGGTTGGCTGCTGAAGAATGCTTAGCATTAAAAGTTCGTCTTTTTACCTACCTACCTACTTATAAAAGTACTTACCTACTATTAACGTTATAATGAAAATTGTAATAACTCATGATTTATAAATAATAAACTTAAATTAATATTAATTTGATTTTTAATTCATTTAGGTCCAGGATAATCTTCTTTCTTTGTTATATAATAATAGGGCCTGTAAAGAACTTCGCACTCGGCACCCTTGCCTTTCACTCTGATGATGTATGTAATGATAAAAGGATTAAAAAATGAACCTAAACAAAAAAGATTGCCTACCCCGATGATATCGTCAAAGGTCAATGTACTTTTTTCCGCCTGCCCTAGAAACGTACTATAGTTCAAATAGCAACGTAGCATCATGGCGGAAGCAGAAGGGAGCGTTTCATCATCATCATTACAGCCCTTCACAAGTCCACTGCTGAATATAGGCCTCCCCCAAGTAATGCCACAAAGCACGGTCCTGAGCCACCTGCATCCATCAACTTCCTGCATGTCTTACCAGGTCGTCACTCCATCTAGTGGGGGGTCGCCCTACACTACGCCTACCGGTACGAGGCTGCCACTCGAGAACCTTTCTTCCCAATCGGTTATCGGTTCTTCGAGCTATATGGCCGGCCCATTGCCACTTCAGCTTACTAATCCGTTGGGCTATGTCGGTCACTCTGGTTTTACTGCGGATATCCTCATTTCTGAGTCTATCACGCAGTGAAACTCCGAGCATAGCCCTTTCCATAGCTCGCTGAGCGACCTTGAGCGTCCTTATACGGCCGGGTGAAGGCCGTCTCAGATCCGTAAGTCATTACTGGCAACACGCACTGGTTATACACTTTAGTTTTCAGAGAATGAGGTATACCTGACGAGAAGATGTGTCGTAATTTCCCGAACGCTGCCCAGCCGAGTTGAATCCGTCGATTGACCTCTCGGTCGAAGTTGGACTTACCTAGTCGGACTATTTGTCCCAGGTAAACGTACTCGTCAACAACTTCGAGCATAGTACTCCCAACAACTACCGGCATAGGTGTAACATGGACATTAAACATGATATTTGTTTTGTCCATGTTCATCTTAAGACCTATCCGCCATTGACGTTAATACCGTATCCTTTCCAGTCCAGTAGCTTGAAAACGTCTTGCAACGCAGCGGTGAAGAGTTTCGGGAATATAACATCACCTGTCTTACACCTCTCTGCAGTTGGATAGGTTTCGTACTCTGGTTCTGTACTCGGATAGCCATCGTAGCCCAACTGTACAAGCACTTTAGCACTTCAATATACCGACAGTCAACTAGGCACCGCTGAAGAGACTGTATCACCGCCCAAATTTCGACGGAATCAAAGGCTTTCTCATAGTCCACATACCCAGGCAAAGCGGCAGATTGTACTCTTCGGACTTCTGTACAATCTGCCGCAGGGTATGTATGTGGTCTATGGTACTGAAGCCTTTTCGGAAACCGGCTTGTTCAGGAGGCTGGAAGTCGTCGAGTCTGCGTGCGAGACGATTCGTAATGACTCTCGAAAACAGCACGTAGACGCGGCTCAGAAGGGAAATCGGTCTGTAGTTCTTCAAGAGAGCGTTGTCGCTTAAAACAACACCGCACTTCTGCTCCACGCCTCCGGAGTAGTGCCACCATGGAGGACGGAATTGAAGGACTTCAAGTACCGGTGTTCCACCCGCTTTCAGAAGCTCCGCTGTAATTCCATCCTCGTCTGGGGCCCTGCCGTTTTTAAGGTGCTGGAGAGCCATTCTAATCTCGCTCAGACTGACGTCCGGGATATCATCGGAATAGTGTCGGGTAAGACTTGCTCTTGGATCGTTACTCACACTTGCGTGTGGCTCCAACGATGATGTGTACAGCTTCCCATAGAACCTCTCAATCTCACTCAAAATCTCAGGTATCCCGGAAACGAAGCTGCCACACTCAGTCTTCAGCTTTGACAGTTGGCTCTTTCTGGCAGACAGATCTCTGGCAAAGACTTTGGAGCCCTGGTTCCGCTCGATCCCTTCTTTAATACGAGGAGCATTAAAGTTGCGTAAGTCTTGCCGCATGCATTTGGAGATCTGTCTGTTCAGTTGCCTGTATGCTGTCAAATCTGTTGACGATTGTAGACTCATCTCCCGTCTAATAGCCATGAGATTAAGAGTGTGATCGGAGAGTTTTTGTGTTCTTCTGCGGCGGGTCTTGCAGAACTTAGCTTCGACCGCATGGACAGTTTCCACGAGCTTGTCATTCATATCGTCCACTGCATTGCAATCTTCTAGGCACTGAAAGCGGTTACGTAACTCGAGCTGAAAAGTCTCGGGATTCTGGATTAGAGCACGAGGGGGGACGGAGCGTTGACCTCAATAGACGAGACCTCTCCAACTTAACGTTTAGGTTCAGTGTGCCTCTAACCATTCGGTGATCGCTGCCGGTTTTAACCCTTGCGATCACTGAGACATCACTGAACAGTTGGCGTCTGGTCGTCATAATGAAGTCAATCTCATTTTTTGTCGAACCGTCGGGGCTCGACCAGGTCCAATTCCTGTGGGGCCGCTTCTGGAAGAAAGAGTTCATCATAAAGAGTCCCTCTTTCTCCATAAAGTCAGCCAGCTGCTGGCCCCTACGGTTCCGTTTCCTTACTCCAAATTTTGCTAACTTCAGCTCACCGCCTTCACTTGTGCCTAGTTTTGCGTTGAAGTCTCCCATCAACACCGTGTAGTGGGTTTTGGAGGAATGCATGGCTCTAGAAATATCCTCATACATTTCCTCCACCTCCTCATCGGGATGTGCCGAGGTTGGTGCGTAGACCTGTATGACCTTCAGCGAATACCGTTTGGTGATTCTGAGTATCAGGTACGCGACCCTTGTCGACACACTCCCAATCTTTACAACGTTGTTGACGAGAGACTTGTGGACGATAAATCCGACACCTTCTTGGGATAGATGGTCG